TGTAGTGTGTGTGTAGTTTATACAGTGTGTGTGATGTATGGTGTGAATGTGTGGTGGATGGTGGATGTGTGGTTTGTGGTATGTATGGTATGTGTGCATGTGGCATGTGTGATGTGTGGTGTATGTGTATAATGTGTTGTGTGCTGTGTTGTGTGTGATACATGCTGTGTGGTTGTATGTATGGTGTGTGTGATGTGTATGGTATGTGGTGTGTGTGTGATGCATTCGTGTGGTGTGTGGTTTGTGTGTGTGGTATCTGATTGTGTGTGTGTGGTGTGCCTGATGCATGTGTATGCTGGGGCATGTGGTGTGTGTGTGTGATGTGTGATGTGTGTGGTGTAGGGTGAATGTGTACTTTGTGGATATTGTTTGTGGTATGTATGGTCTGTGTGTGTGTGTGTGGCATGTGTGATGTGTGGTATGTGGTGTGTGTGGTGTATGTGTGTCGTGTGTGTGATGCATGTGTGTGGTGTGAGCAATGTGATATGTCGTGTATGGTTGTGTGTGTGCTGTGTGTGATGCGTGTGGCGTGTATAGTGTATGTGTGATGCATTTGTGTAGTGTGTGGTTTGTGTGTGTGGTGTCTGTGTAATTGTATGTGTGCATGTGGGAGTGTGTGGTGAGGGGTGTGTGTGTGTGTGTGTGTGTGTGTGTGTGTGTGTGTGTTTTGGAATGAGGTAAAGATGCAGAAGGGCCAGTTAGGAAACATGAGTGTTAGAGGAGAAGTCAGCAACTGGACAGCAGCATCAGGACAAAAGGGATGCAGAGGGTTCAACAGGGGCTATGGAAAGTCCTGGAAAGCCCTCAGTGTTTGGGGTTTATTCTGAGAGCAATGAAGACCCAGAGATTCAGTAAGCAGGAGAGAATGCCATGAGAAAGGGCCGTTAAGAGACAGAAGGGAGCTGAGGCAGGGGTGGCAGGTGTGGCACCAAGGGCTGGGGTTGAGGCGTTCAGAACAGCAGTGGAGAGGCCTTGGAGATGATGTATAAGCTGGGGAGCTAACACGTCTCCAGAGGCTGCTCCGTGCTGTGTCAGACCCTCACCAAGAGCTCCTTTGGCAAGGTGGATCACCTACCAGCAATGCAAGAGCTGGCCATTTCTGTGTCTTTCTCTTCCTTCATTCTTCTCCACCCCAAACCCCCGTAACAGGTAAAGAAATAAACCACACACAAAATAAACATGTGTGCTGGAGAGGCAACCAAAAGGAAGAATCAAAGGCCAAGTGCCCCACTGAGCTCACCTCCTCTTCAGAACCATGGAGAGGAAAGGGGAGCATGAGTTCTGGAAGCCTCAGCCTCTGTGAGGGGTGCAGGTGAGGAAGACCAGATATTTGATACATACGAATAAAGGGAAGACACAGCCTTGCCTGCGGGAAAGAGGGAGCACATTTTCTGAGGGCCAGGATTGCAGGGTTACAGCTGTGAGCTGGTCACAGCGAAATGGTGCCGAGAAGAGGCTGGGCTTGGGCTGTATGGGCGGTATGGGCAGTGACCCCAAGATCCCAAGAGGCCCTTAAGGGACACCAACCACTCAAAACAGCCTGGATCAAAGGTGAGAACATAAAAGGAGCACAGAACCCTGTACCTGCTCCACCCCAGCCTGTCCCATCTGTCCTTCTGAGGAGGGAGGGAAAGCCTGAGAAGGGTTGCCAGGCCAACAGAGATGCTCACATAGAGCTAGAGGTCTATGGCTCCTCGGAAGCAGGTGCTGCTTCCCTTAAAAGTGCCAAAAAGCCGGGCGCGGTGGCTCAAGCCTGTAATCCCAGCACTTTGGGAGGCCGAGGTGGGTGGATCACAAGGTCATGAGATCAAGACCATCCTGGTCAACATGGTGAAACCCTGTCTCTACTAAAACTACAAAAAATTAGCTGGGCATGCCTGTAGTCCCAGCTACTCAGGAGGCTGAGGCAGGAGAATTGCCTGAACTCAGGAGGCGGAGGTTGCGGTGAGCCGAGATCGCGCCATTGCACTCCAGCCTGGGTAACAAGAGCGAAACTCCGTCTCAAAAAAAAAAAAAAAAAAAAAAAGTGCCAAAAAATGTCCTACCCACTCTTACTGACTGCCTTCAACACTTGCAGCATGCACTTTTAACTTTCTCAGCAATCACTTGAGCCCAGGAGGCGGAGGTTGCAGTGAGCCGAGATTGCACCACTGCACTCCAGCCTGCGTGACAGAGCAACACTCCATCTCAAAAAATACTAATGATAAGAAATAAAAATAAATAAATAAATAAATTAAATAAATTTTCTCATCAGTGGAAGAATTTTCCTCTCAAAGGGAGGTTGAGACTAAAGGGAAAGTCTTGAGAATCACACTTTTCCAGCTTGGGGAGAAAATCCAAACATCTGGAAGCGACTTTAAAATAATAAAACTGGAATGCTTTCGTTGCCCTAATTGACTCTTGAAGAATCTAGACCAGTTGCAGGTTACAGTAGTATCAATAGAGGAAGTGTACAGTCTCCGTGGCAACTAAAGGAGTCCATACTCCCTGAAAGGGTGGGGCACCGGTGTAATTGATAGAGTATGTGCTTCAAAAACAGATCTGGGCTCATATGATGGCTCTGTCATACACCCGCTTTGTGACATTGGGGAGGTCAGATAACCTCTCAGAGATTCAGGTTCCCCATCTGTAGAATGAAGCTAAGACTGCCTATCACACCTCCAAGCTCATCTCTGGGTAAACGGCCCATGGTAGACCACCTTCTGGAACCCTGCAAGAATCATACCTTGGTTGGTTAATGCTCACACAGTGACTCCCCTTATCGACTCTGCAGCATTTTCCTTCTTTGGGAGCATGGGTGTGTCCAGGGCTCAAGTCTGATCTCCCCAGCCAAGGCTGGACCTTGCCCATTTACTAAGAGCCTGGTAACATGTAGTTAGCTCTAGAAGCAATGAGCACATGCATGCTATCAACAGCTCCATCTCAGGAAAAGGTCTTTTGCACTCATCTGCTTTTTAACTGCGGTTAAACTACACTGCCCCTCAGGACATGCAAAGTGTCAACCAGAATGTGGGGGAGGTTGTCAAATTATAAGATATCCACTCTGAGAAGTCTCTTTCCACATTAAATGCAAGAATTTCAACTCAATGTTTAAATATGCTGTGAATGTAAACATTTATATATGTGCCATGGTCTCCACCACTCCCTACTGCCTTTCACCCAGCCATTTCACACATTTCCCTTTACTGCCTGGTTCAGCAGACATTTTCAGTTTATACCCCTGGCTGTTCCACTCTGCCAATTTATGGATGGATGGATAAGGAGCATGAAAAAGGCCACAACCAGGAACCAAGTCTTCTGACATAGTCAGAAGCCTCTTTATTCATTCATTCAATATTCCTCTATTTGGCTAGGTGTGGTGGCTCACCCCTGTAATCCCAGCACTTTGGGAGGCTGAGATGGGTGGATCACCTGAGGTTAAGAGTTCAAAACCAGCCTGGTCAACACGGCAAGACCCCCGTCTCTACTAAAAATACAAAAAAATTAGCCGGGCATAGTAGCGCACAGTTACTTGGGAGGCTGAAACAGGACAATCTCTTGAACTCGGTAGGCAGAGGTTGCAGTGAGCAGAGATCACATCACTGCACTCCTGCCTGGGCACATGTATATATTCCTCTATTCATTCAGCCATTCATTGTTGAATGAATGAGAAGCTATTTTGTGCCAGTCCCTACGCTAAAGCAAACTATGAATGAAAGGAGACACACAAAG